GGAGATGTCCCCCGGCTAGGGACAGCGTCTGCTAGAAGGGCAAATGCTGCCTGCAGATAAGCTGGAAACAAGCAAACAAACTAGAAATCGTTACGCCGAAATGCTAAGGAACCGAAATCCGGAGAAGCAGAAGAGAGAAGTGATTGCCGCCCGCTCCGCGGCACAGCTCGGGGGGGCCGGGCCGCTGGGCGGGTTCCGTGTCAGGGCGCTCGGAGGTGAGGGAGGGCTCAGAGCTACAGTTGCGTGTGCATAGAGGAGAACCTGTGGATACTTTAGGTGTAAGGGCACAAGCTTAGCAGAAAGTAGCTTTTCACGGTGGTAGCTTAAAGCTGTAGAGCGGAGGAGGAGATTTCTGTACCTCGACGTGTGGCAGAAAAGATGTAAAAACCCCAGTGTCTGATGGATTTCTTTTTTTTTCCCTTGATGATCTAGGAGTGGGTTTTGCAACACGGCAGGTGGGGAATGTGACTAAACCCACTGTGATTATCAGCACCGAGGGGGACAAAGTAGTGATCAGGACTCAAAGCACTTTCAAAAACACAGAAATCAGCTTTAAACTTGGAGAGGAATTTGATGAAACTACCCCCGATGACAGAAACTGCAAAGTAAGTGAACTCTGGGGCTCCAGGGGCCTCTCTTTCTCTTTCTTCTCCCCGCCCCCGCGGCTGTATCTTTGGAAGGGTCAAAGGAAAAAAATGTAACTTTTGCTACTGCCAGTTGTAGCACTGAAGGACTGGGAAATAAAAGACAAGGTTGTATCTTACTTGCCTGCTTACACTATTCTTTGTCTGAAAGAATGTGTTATGCCCTCTGCCTACCTTCCAGTGTTGAAGAATTGTGTTAGCTGTCTGCTTTTCTTTCAATCCAAGTATCATTTGGCATAACTTTTCCCAGACAAAATGGGGAAATGCCTTCTTCCCAGCATCTCTGGGGGCTTAACATAAATGTTATCCCAAAGCACAGCTGAAACAGTGGTTCTTGTGAAGCTGGAACTGAAAGGAAATAACTTTTTTCATCCTTTGACACAAACAAGAATTGTATGGAGCTCATGCTTAAAACGAGGATGATTCATGGGGTTGGCTTTAAAATGGCTGGGACTACTTTATCATTCTAGATCCACCTCCATCTACTGGAGAGAATTCAATAAAATAGTGTAGGCTGAATGTGTGAGTGGAATCCCAAATACCCCAAACAAATGAATGCCTTTGTGTCTCTTGCTATCTCATAGTCAGTTGTGACCCTGGATGGAGACAAGCTAGTGCATGTACAGAAATGGGACGGGAAAGAGACAAACTTTGTGAGAGAAATCAAGGATGGAAAAATGGTAATGGTAAGTATAAAGCACACTGATCATTCACATACACTGCTAAACACTCCTCACATTTATCTTGAGCTTTATGAACAGATAAGTGTTACTTACACAAACCTTTAAACTAATTGGTGGGAAAAGCTAGCAGAGATTTTTTTCAAGTATTTGTTTTGTTTGCTATCTTGCTTTACTGTCAGCTAAAGCATTGCTAGTGGTTGTAGGCAGGCCACCATCTGGACTTCCAGCATGTATAGGTTCTTCCTAAAGACTGTGTAAATGGCCAAGCAAAAGGGAAAAAAAAGTCCTGGTGAGCTGGAAAAGATATAAATTTCTTGATTAGACAGGCAAGGATCTGTTGCCAGTACTAATTTAATTTCTTTAAAAACTTGGTTTATATATGCACATGTAAATAATATCTAATTACACAGAACAAGTATTTCTCTAGGAAAATAAAACTACAATATTGCAGAAGTTAATAGCATTTAGTAATGAAGAGTTTATTCCTCCTATCTTGTTAAAAACTAGGATAAACAGCAATTCTGTGAAGAAAAGTCTTGCTTTAAATTAACATTCTTTTCCTGACTTTTCAGGAACAGGAGTATGGGGTGAATAAATGGTCTAGGTTACTATCTTACTGTTCAGGGTGGTACTTCCTATGCTTATTTTTGGCACTTTCAAAAATAAAACCCCTTCAGCTATACTGATCTATGTGACTTGTTTGTTGGAGAGAGTCAGTTAGCTTGTTTTCTAAATACTTCAGAGAGTGTCTGTATGGATGAGGACTTCCAAATAATTAAAAGCTTAAAGCATACAGTCAGTGCAACCCAATGTGACAAGCAGTTTAAGGAAAAATACATGCTTTGTTTTTTAGAAACAGCTATATACGTATACAGAAAACATTTTTCCTTTAGAATCTGAACACGGTGAGATGCCTTGTTCCACTTCAGGAAATACCTCCAAAATCACACACTGTAGTTACTGTTCTGTAGGTACTGTAGTTATTACAGTTGCACAGCAGCAGCATTTGGTAGTTCCAGCTACATAAGTGCACAGAATACATGTATTGTAATACAAGGTTCTCCCTAATTATATGCCTGTGCAAAATATTATAGAATATGGATGCAGAGTTTTAGATAGCACATCTTGCAGTGTGATCAGCTTTGGGAAAACATGTATTAAGCCTGTATTAAAACAATGCTATATTTAAGAAACAACATTCATGGAAATTAGAAAAATTGAGCAGTCCATTCTAGCCTCACTTTAGTTGCCTTGCAAATGTGCGTTATGGGCTTCCTGGGTTTAAAAACAGCAAGGAGAAAGTTACATTTATGATGGGAACCATAATGAAGGTTTTGCCTCCTGTTCATTTAAAATATCAATAACCTAGACCAATCTGTGTTTCTATAAATAAGATAACGTAAATCAACCTTGCTCTAAAATGGACTTCTTAATATGTGTTAAGTTATTACACAAAATGGTCTGCATCTAACGTGTCTGTCTTTTCCTTGGACTTGCAGACTCTCACCTTTGGTGATGTGGTTGCTGTTCGCCATTATGAGAAAGCGTAGAGTTTACCTGACCTCTGTCCAGATGTTACTTCTGCTGGATGGATTAACATACTGTCCATAATCGAACGTAGCTAAAATGCACATTTCTGGCATGAAAGGTTAATAAAGAGTTTGAGGGAGGTGTGGGGTTTTTTTTTAAAAAAGAACAACTTTATGCCATCAAATTGGCAAGCTTGTGCTGTATAGTGAAATAGGTTAAACTTGGCATTAAATTTCTGAAACACTTGCCTTGCCTTTTTTTTTTAACAGTAAATGGAACATATTTGAATTGTTTTTGAATGCTGATGAAACAGAAATTAAAAACTTTTTTAAACCTGTGCTCCTTTTGCGTTTAATCTGCTAATATTTCAGTGTTCTGGAGGGAGTTGTTGCAAGTTTTCTTCTTTGGAGTTAATTAACAGAAAAGCATTTAGTACCCAGAGCTGCAGCAGCCTCTCTTTGTGGTGTGGAGTATATGGGAAATGAAAAATTGCCATGCTTTTCAGTGACTTCTTTTTGCTGGAGAAATCTAAAGTCCCTGTCATTATATACATAGGCAGAGAAGTGAGAGCCTCAAGCCAGTTTCAGCTCATGTCTTCACTTGGAACTTGTTACCCTGTGCATGCTGAGGTCAGTAGCTAGCCTTTGATGTCAGATGCATCCCGTAGTTTTGGTTTTAATGGTTAAGGGTTTCTGTTTTGGTGGGTTTCTTTGCTAATATACAAAGGGTTGATGTACATCAAAGTAAAAAGATTGAAGAGTTTCACAGGGTGGGAGGAAAGGACCAGCACGATAAATGGCACTTGGGGAACTTGAGATACAAAGCTTATCTTTCATCAGTATCTGGAGGAGTGGGAGGAGAACAAAAGGAAAACAGTACAAGACAAACTTTGTGAGATTCCCTCCCTGAGCTCTAGTTTCATACCTAATATGTACAGGAGATGACAATTTACACTGTGAGCAACTTAAAATAAAATGTTGTTTAAAAGAGAGAAATGAAAACCCTATTCCTGAAGAATATTTCCCTAAAAGAACAGAGCGCAAAAAACTGCCTTACACTTCAGATTATTAGGAATAATGGAACAGGTTGCTGGCAGCATGGAGAAGATTGTTTGGAGTCCATGCTTTCTGACATACTGATTCAGCAGACCACATGGAGGTGTAGCTACCTACCACCTTTCAACCAAAGGCAGAGCTGAGCTGTGGCTTTAGCGAGTTAGTATTCTGAGGGTTTGTGGCTGCACAAGAAGAAGGTGCAGGAGGGGTGTCCCACCCAACTCCCCTGACCTAACACTGTGCTGTGCCATCCGTCACATCTGCCACATGGTATCATGGAAAGTGGCTTCTTGATTCCCTGGATAGCTAGGATAACATGGGTACCTCATCTCATTAATCTTATAAAAGTTCAGGCATAACTGTGGCACCTAGCCAACACAAATACAAAATATAATGTTACCAGATTTACTTTTTTACAAAGAAGCTGCCTGAAAGGAACAGCCAAGTCTGTTTTCTTTTGTGGGGACACTGTACGTCTAGAAGACAGAGTTCTTAATTCTGAACCATTATAAATATGGGGGTGTGTGTGTGTGGATATTAGTAGTTTTTAAAATCTAGGAGTTAACTTCTTTCCATCAAAGAAATGAAAGGTATAACTTGTTCCAGTGGTATGGGGAGTTGCAATCTCTGTGTTCTGTGCTGCTTCATCTGCTGTAGTGCAAGTTATGTTTAAACAGCATGTTCTGCCCTTGTGCTTTATTAGCTCATTTAATCCTTAGCTTCAGTGCCCGATACAGCTTTCACCTGCCTCCCCTCTGCTGCTGCCTGTTCTCCCGTGGGTGCATTCACCACGTGACTGTCCTTCCCAGCCAGCCCACTCAGAGAGGAGCAGCTGCTTTTCTTTTATCACTGGGAAAACAGACTTGGGTCCCCAGTACTGGCATCGACAAGTGACTTGTGGAATCATGAAAAAAAAATATTATTAAATATGAGGAATGGAATGCAGAGACAGATTGTTAAGAACTTGGTTTACAAATCAAAACTGAGTAGTAAATATTTTGCATTACAATTACTTTTGAACAAAGGCTATTTTTCCCTACATATACATGTTTTATAAGTCACATGAAGCTTCTTGGTGAAGTCTTTTGCTTTTCTAAAGACAAACAATACTAACATTAGATTAAATAAGGGAGCGATAAGTGGAGAAGGGGTGCCTGCGAAGTGCCTACGGCACTGCTCAGATGAGTGGGAAAGTGAGGAAAATACTAACACACAGGACTTCCAGCCCTGGAAGGCTGGTCTGAACAGAACAGTGAGCAGCAGGGTGTTTGCGGGCAGCCATGGGATCCATGGTGTCATTCTTGTGGTCTGCTCCTAAAACTGACACCGAGTACTCTTCCTCTCTGGAAACTACTCTGACTTCAGCAATGAACAGCAGCTCTGCTACCAATGAAGCCTTTGCAATGGACACTCGCGTTCATAATACACCTCAGCGTTTGCCTTAAGAGGTATTGAAGATGTACTTGATGGCTTATTTCAACATCTTTTTACGTTTTAAGGCATGTTAAATAACTAGGATCCATTTTTCACGTATACTTCAGGTCAGAAACTCTCCTTCCTAAATACGCTCCAGACTCCAGCACGGCGTCCTGGCGCAGGCTGCTCGGGGCAGGGCTGTGCCCCGGCGCTCACACCGCAGCTCCGCACCGCCAGGGCCATGGCTGGCTCGGGGGGTAGGGGGCAGTGGGGGTA